TCGATTATTTCTGTAATAAGTCAGGACAATCGGAATCTAATCAACCCGGAAAAGCATTTCCAAATTAATATACAATTACGAATTTTCATACATAAGTTTTATTACAATTATGAATCCTAACAACCGTTGATTTTTCTTTCATTGAAAAATCAACCGTTGATTTTTCTTTCAACACAAATTTGCTTTTAGCAAAAAGCTAATAAGCTTTTATTCGTATATTAAATGTCAACTGAAACGAAAAAATGTCTAGGTGAAATTCCAAACAATGAAGATATTAAAAGAAGTTAAGCACATTCCTACATTCTCCTCGATCGATTGAAATCATCAAAAGAAGAAACAGACTTTTATTCGAATTTCGTCTCTTACAATTGTGTCAGATAATTTTGACTTTGCACGAAGGTCCGCATTCTAGTTACAAAGAAATATTTTACTGCAACATTGAAAACGCCACGAACGTACGCTCAGATTATACATTAACCCTTAAATGCATATTGTTGCCAATTGTCTACATTCCAGTTCCACTTAATTTGATTGAAAAACCTGAGTATGTGGGTTTCCGAACACACGTTGATAACAATAGACCATGTGTGAAATAAAAGACTTGACATTACTTTTGGCGAGTAAGTTATACGTTTTTTGACATTTGAATGTGGTGGGTGATAATCTTCGATGTGTTACTTGGAGAGATATTTTCTTTTTTCGAGTTTCCTATAAAGGAGTGATTTATCTAATTGCTTTGTGTCACGACAAAAATCGCAATTGCTTTGCTGCGTTTCATTTATAAATAATGTGAAAATTCCTATACTAATAGATAATAATAAATACATGACCGTTTGTTTACGTCTACAATAATTTGAGTAATAAACGCATATTGTTGCCAAAAGTTTACATACAACTTTTTTTCAAAATAAATACTCAATATTATTACCCAGATTTTTTTATTTATGACTTATTTAACCTATGACTACATTCCTATAAAAAACGATTTTTNATGTTTAATTTTAATGTTGTTAAGAAATCGTGACGGTCTCGAGTGGGTTGGAATTATAGCGTCGTAAGTCGCATTGTTGACAATTTTGAATACATTCCAAAATGTCAAAAAAGAAACAGTAAAAGAAATCTACTACAAATTAACTTTTCAAATTCTTACGTTTTAATGTGTTAATTAACTCTAAAGTATCTAACAATAAATTTGGTCAGCAAACAATAACACTCCTTGTTTCTCATAATAAAAATCACAATAAAATATTAAGTTATAAGAATAATAATCCTTCATGTATTTTTTCATGTATTATTTCATCATCTTCATGTATTATTTTCCTAATTATTTAATTAAAGAACTTACGTCGATTATTTCTGTAATAAGTCAGGACAATCGGAATCTAATCAACCCGGAAAAGCATTTCCAAATTAATATACAATTACGAATTTTCATACATAAGTTTTATTACAATTATGAATCCTAACAACCGTTGATTTTTCTTTCATTGAAAAATCAACCGTTGATTTTTCTTTCAACACAAATTTGCTTTTAGCAAAAAGCTAATAAGCTTTTATTCGTATATTAAATGTCAACTGAAACGAAAAAATGTCTAGGTGAAATTCCAAACAATGAAGATATTAAAAGAAGTTAAGCACATTCCTACATTCTCCTCGATCGATTGAAATCATCAAAAGAAGAAACAGACTTTTATTCGAATTTCGTCTCTTACAATTGTGTCAGATAATTTTGACTTTGCACGAAGGTCCGCATTCTAGTTACAAAGAAATATTTTACTGCAACATTGAAAACGCCACGAACGTACGCTCAGATTATACATTAACCCTTAAATGCATATTGTTGCCAATTGTCTACATTCCAGTTCCACTTAATTTGATTGAAAAACCTGAGTATGTGGGTTTCCGAACACACGTTGATAACAATAGACCATGTGTGAAATAAAAGACTTGACATTACTTTTGGCGAGTAAGTTATACGTTTTTTGACATTTGAATGTGGTGGGTGATAATCTTCGATGTGTTACTTGGAGAGATATTTTCTTTTTTCGAGTTTCCTATAAAGGAGTGATTTATCTAATTGCTTTGTGTCACGACAAAAATCGCAATTGCTTTGCTGCGTTTCATTTATAAATAATGTGAAAATTCCTATACTAATAGATAATAATAAATACATGACCGTTTGTTTACGTCTACAATAATTTGAGTAATAAACGCATATTGTTGCCAAAAGTTTACATACAACTTTTTTTCAAAATAAATACTCAATATTATTACCCAGATTTTTTTATTTATGACTTATTTAACCTATGACTACATTCCTATAAAAAACGATTTTTTAAAATTCAAAACAAAAAATCATGCATTTAAGGGTTAACAACGTAAAAAACTTTCGAAGCATTTGAAGAATCGAGTGGTGAAAATAATATTGCTGACGTCATCGAATCGGTGAAACCGTTCAAGGAAAATTGAAGACGCCGAACGGGAGGATGAGCTCGCAGGATTATAAATAGACAAGTGGAAAGGATGAGAATCAAGTGGCAAAATGTCACCCGTAGCCACGAAGTGACGCGCGTTACTTCGAAGTTGCTCGAAGACTAACTCTCGAAAACAAGATCTCCGATAGTGGGCGAAGGGATTATAGTCATCTGGAAGAGTAACGGGAAGGAAGAACAGGACAGAATGGAGCGAAAATCGGGCAGAAAGTTTTCGAGTTAAGGGGCAATGACGCGATTACTATCCTCTTAGTTTTCTTAAGGAACGGCGATAGCAGAGGAAGCGGAGACAAACATGCTTTCCTCGCATAAGGATCCTGATTTACGAGGATAGCTCTTTCCTGAAATATGATCTGATATTTAATGTCATTTCCCCTCTGCTCACTGTCTGCGCAAAATATTGATGCATTTATTTTTAATCCCATAAAATTTCTTAGAACCACGAACAATTTTCTGCACACACACACACACACACACATCCGTCGGAAATAAATTTGCTACGGAATTACTGCGAAGAACTTGAAGACTCGAAGATTTTTGATGAAGATATAACTGTACATATCATACAGCATCGTTTATAATTTTATTTATCAATTTCCTGAACATATTCTTTAACACGTTCGCTACCAGCGTTACACATTCTTGACGACCACGATTTTGTGTTTCACGCGAAGTACGCGAAATTAATTTTCTGAGTACAATTACTTAAAATTGTAATACACAGCATGAAATTTTTGTAGACAATTTATAGCTTTATTTTGACGAAATTTTTATCAGCTTTTATAAAAGTATGCGATGTATGCATTTAATACGATAAATACAATGAATATAAATATGTACGCTAGTGACGCTAGTAGGGAACATGTTAAATTAGTTCTTCTATACATTAGTTTTTCTATAGATCTTAACGAAACATGTACAATTTTTAATTAATCGTCGGAAACTAGATAGTCGAATAACAACATTTATACTCTGTGTCCAAATGGGTCCCGAACCAACTAACACCACTCAATCTTTACAATCATTGAAACGGTTCGCAAGCAAATAATTTATCTCGAGACAGCCTAATTCATCATCGAAGAAATTAATAGTGAATATGTACCAACCCTGGTTTGGAAAATGAGTAGATCGAATACAAAACAAGAAAAACATCATTAAAAACACATTAACGATACATCAAACAGCTCATTAAAATGGTTGCGAAACAAAATGCATATCTTCTACGTATTTTCTGTATGTAGAAATTGATGCGGACAATTTGTATCTTCCATAAAAATCTGCGGTCTACTCATTAGTTTAGTGCGTTTACTATTGGGTTGGCAACTAAGTAATTGCCGATTTCAGTTATAGATGTCTCTCACTCCCATTTTTATGATATATCCGTAAATGTTATATTATAAAAGACTACGGAACTTTATAAGAAATAAAAATTATTTTCATCAATTGCAACAAACATGGAAATTTCTTTCTTTAATTAAAATGATGCATTTAACGAAAACAATACATAATACAATGGAAAATAATATATGCCCCTACATTCTTGTAACATATTCATCGTTTTAAATTTCGCCTACTCCTTTGGTATAAATGCATCACATTCATTCAACTTCGTCATTAACTTGAAATAAGACAATCAGAATAATAATTAGATCGCGAATCTTTATACAAATTATCAATTTTCTTCGTCAATTGTCAGAAGCTGAAGCCACACAGAAAATTCATTCGTTTTTCAATAAGTGAGTCGAAAATAATATAGCTATTGTTGTAGTATTACTTGTAGTATTGTATTGGGTTGGCAACTAAGTAATTGCCGTAAATATCCGTAAATGTTATATTATAAAATTATTATTATTACGCTATTTTGTATTATCCGTGAATGTTAGCAACTGGACAAATTGAATGCAGCGGTCAAGGAAAAGCGACCAGAATTGGTCAATCGTAAAGGTGTCATTTTCCAGCAGGAAAATGCTAGGCCGCACACGTCTTTGTCCACTCGGCAAAAATTGATGGATATTGGTTGGGAATTGATGTTACACCCACCACATAGCCCTGATCTCGCGCCATCGGATTACCACTTATTTCGATCCCTGGACAACTCCCTTCGTGGTAAAACTTTTAACGATGATGACGCTGTAAAATCTCACTTAACTCAGTTTTTGGCCGAAATGGATCAGACTTTCTACGAGCGTGGAATTTTCAAGTTGTCAGAGAGATGGCAAAAGGTCATCGAACAAAATGGAAAATACGTTATAGATCAAACTTCATTCCAAGTAAAAAAGAATTTTTTATTTCATTGAACAAATCGACAGTTACTTAGTTGCCAACCCAATAAATCGAAGAATAATTAATTAATGTTGACAACTACGAAAGAGAAATGATTAGCTACACCAGCATTGCGATAGAATCGCAAAACAGATTAAACTTCGTTCCAAGTAAAAAAAAATCGGCAATTACTTAGTTGCCAACCCAATAGTTATCGATAACGTAAATCAAATGAAATCTACTCACCAGCTTTGGAGGCGACACCCCGAAGGTACGAACACAGACATAACAAGCACCAGATCCATGCGGTCGTTTTTCCTGCCTAGAACACGAATACAGTATGATTAAAATATATCGCTTAAAATCGGGTATGATGTGTGGGAGCGCCGTATATTATAGGATACATCGATTAATTACTAATTTGCTTAAATTACATCATGCCTGAATAGCTTGTAACTACATGATTATCCAAAATAGACTACAGGAAGATTTTTTTAAATAAAAAAAAAACTATTTCAAATTGTATTGTTTTTTTTAAATTTAATTATCAAGTATCATCTATGACAATTATGTGTGAAAGATGACATCTGTCAAATGATTACCATATATTTGCTCGTTTAATTCACCAATTTCATTTCTAATGTTGTTTCTTAGATCACATGAATTGTTACTGGTTTGTTAGCATAAACTGTGCTTTTCAAATAGTCCCAAAGAAAAAAGTCCAGTGGGGTCTAATTACGTGAACGAGGTGGTCAATTCACATCACCATTTCTTGAAGTTAATCGACCATTGAATTTTGATCGCAATAAAGTGATGTTTTCAGGCGTTGCGTGTGTGACCTAACTCCGTCTTCTTGAAAATAAACATTGCTTATTGTTCCATTTTAATTTCAATCATAAATAATCGATAATCATTTCATTATAACGTGTACCATTCACTTTAACTGTACCTTCATTCTTGTTTTTGGAAAAGAATGGACCGATTACGCCTTTCGACCAAAATCCACACCAAACTAACTTTCTTTGGATAAAATGATTTTTCTTGAATGGTTCTTAGATTTTCATCTCCCCATATGCGACAATTATGCTTATTGACGTGTTCATCCAATGTGAAACGAGCTTCATCGCTACAGATGATATTGCGTGAAAACAATGCATCGATTGAACGATGTTCCAACAACCAATCAGCGAAATTTCTGCATTGCAAATTGTCACTTTCTCTCAATTCTTGCGTAAATTGAATTTTGTAAGCATGCAAATGCTAATCTTTATGCAAAATTCGCCGCAAACATCTTGAAAATTCTTGAAAACGAGGTAGAATTGACGTTGATGATTCATTAGCAACACTTTCACGAACGGCAGCAATGTTTTCATTCGAACGAGCTGTTTTTGGTCCGCCAGACTTTGGTTTATCATGAACAGATTTTTGTTTTATCAAATTTTTTAACCAAATTTCGCATTGTTTAATCAGATAAACGATTATGTATGCCGAAAAAATTACGTAATTTACGGCGGATATTTTGTATTGAACACTGATTTTTAAAATAAATTTGAATAATTCCAATAAGCTCTTTAATCGTATACGACTCCATCGTTAAAATTGTCTATCATTGTAGATTAGTATAAAAAGAAAGTGTGACAAGAAACGAGCATGGCGTTTGACAGATATTGTCACTCAACATCCTAAAGGTACTTTTGGATAACCCTGTAGCTAGAATAACATTATTGCACGGGCATTTAACAATTACACGTTAAATTGTCGCTAGCAAAGCGGAAACCATTTAGACGTATATATCCGAAAGCAGATCAATGTCTTTCATGTCATAGCTGTCACAGCGCATATGGTGCAAAGAACTTCCACATTAGAAATATTCATAATTATATGTGGCTACCTGGTGCGCTAAGTTTATAGCTCAATCATCATATTCATAAGCTGTATGTCTAATGATCGTTTCTATAAATCCGAACTTCGGCTTCTTTAGCAACCAGCAGCTATTTTTCCAACATACATGCGAGTGCTCGAGAACTACTTTCATTTTTTACGCGCTCGTTACATTCATTCGTCTCAACAAATCTTCGTAATTACTGTTTTCTCGGATAAATTGCTTCATAGCAGCAACATCTTTTTAATATGTTGGAAAAGTATAACTTAAGTATCGTTGATATTTTGAATGGAACGATTTACACTAATAACGGAAGTGTTACGCGTGTTCTCGTTACTAGACTGCGGGTTTTATGGCAACGATGGATAGATGAAATATAAAACAGTGGAAAGATTGAAAGAAACTAAATATATCGATGGAACAATTTCCAAGTTGTCAAAGTTATTTAACCCGAGAAAGATAACCTACGTCGCAGAGGCGCCTGCGAAGACTGTTGATTTTTGTTAATTTTTCATAGAGGTCTAGTGATTTAAGTTTAAAATTACTTAAAATATAAAAAAATATAATATAAATGCATTTTATTTTTACAATAATGCCAAACCTTTAAAATGACTAGATTAACTTAAATAAATATCCATTGTTAGTATAAAATTGACGCCTTAGAAAAGCATGCGCCTCTGAAGCGTATGGTTATCTTTTACGTACGTTGTCACATGGTTATCTTTCTAGGGTTAACAAAGAAAAATGATTGCAACTGGCTCGTATGTCTTGCAATCGATACAGACAATTTCTACTATTTTACATAAAGATCCTATAATTGAAAGTAGTGCAATAATCCGAAACACTGAGCGAAATGTTTAAATTATTTTAAAGAAAGGTTAGACGAAGAATGTTAACAACAGCGTGTTTGTTTCTTTTACAACAATAAACATCTTACGATAGCAAACATTTTGACGTTGCAGCGTAACATTTCGTTTGACACAAACTTTAATTTTCATTACGCAAAAATCGAGCAAGGGAAAATATCCTTCGCCATTTGGAGGATTCCCCGCGAGTGAAATGAATAAAACATGTTAATACGTCTCCCGTTTCACGCAATTTGCATACGGCGTAAATATACGCGGTCCAATCATAATAAAAGAACTCGCGGACACGATTATGCCAGCGTTTTCCGGATAAGCTCGGAGTTGCGCGTTTGGCATCCCGCCATTAATCACTTAGCAAGGTGCAGTTTTATTGTGCATTCGCGTTTTTTGGCGGTAGAAATGATTTCGTTCCCGATAGAATTACAGTGTTCCGCGTCGACGCCGGGATTCCAATAATTAGAAGATAAATCAGCGCGAGAGGCGAGCGATTAAAACGCGCGTTCCCTCGGACGAGGAGAGAAAGCACGTTAGAATTTCGCGGGTAGAGGGAAGAATGATCGGCAGCCGTCGCAATGGCTGCCTCGCCTACAAATTATTCTTCCCGGTGTCCCGTAACAACGCTCGCGGCTTTCAAAAGATGTACACTCGCGTCGGAAAGTGTGTTAACACGTTCGCAACTGAAATAACATTTGTTCAAATTGTTCAAAATAACTTGAATTTTTCTGTGATTCTGTTCGATTGCAATTCGTTGGAACGATAAAAAAATTAAGAAATTATGTTTTCTCAACCTTCTTGTCTGAGCCTGCAACAAAAATTTGAACAATCCGTTTCGTAGATCTTGGTAATTTAGACACACTGCTAAAAAAAATTACAGTGATAGTAAAAAATTATCAAAATTTTTGGTAAAAATTGGCCAAATTTGAACGACGATAACTCCGTGAGAAATCATCGTAGGACGATGATTTTGTATTTAAATCGAAGCTCGAAACTTTTACTTTAAGACAATATTCCCAATTTAAAGTTCGATGCACCCTCGCCGCTCTAACCCTTCAAATGCGAGGCCATGTTTGTCATACTAAAAATTGTCAAGATTGACGAAATGCGTGAACTTAACCTTTTAGATACGGCTGAATTCTGCGCGAGGCTATTTCTCTGGACGGCAGAGTCTGATACTGTATATACAGGGTGTCACAAAAATGTCTCGCAATCCAAAAGTGGCGGGTTCCTGAGGCCATTTGAAGCAACTTTTTCCTTTACAAAAGTTTTCTCCGAGACACCGTTAACGAGTTATTAACGAAAAACAGTGACCAATGAGAGGCGAGCTCAGCTGGCGCGAGGTGATCGAGCCAATGAGCGGAACTGGACTTCGTGCGCTGATTGGCTGAGCCGCCTCGCGCCAGCCGTACTCGATTCTTATTGGTCACTGTTTTTTGTTGATAACACGTTAACGGTGCCTCGGAGAACATTTTTGTAAAGGAAGAAGTTGCTTCAAATGATCCGAGGAACCCGCCATTTCCGGATTGCGAGACATTTTTCGGACAGCCTGTAGACTGTTGTAAATCGATGTGAAGACAAAAGAAGTGTGAAACAATGCATATGAAGATGATTATTTGGTTCAAACGATGAGCGAGTGAGCTATTAGAGCAAGCCACTATAGTGGCGCGTCGTCCAGAGAGATGACATCCGTGAAAGCCACTATAGTGGCGTGTCGTTCTAAAAGATGATATCCGCGGAAGCCACTATAGTGGCGCGTCGTGCCTAAAAGATTAATGCCGTTCGCCGCGGAATGAAGCCTGATCATTTCCCTTTAATTTAAAAGGAAGAAAACGTGGTTGCGATTTTTGAAATCGGTTAACATTGTTACGAGCTGTTAATATTTAATGTACGTGAAAATTTCAGTTTCTCACGAATTTCAAACGAAAACGGGCGACTTTCAAATCTTTTAATATTCAGTAGAATATAATAGTAGAACATAAATTCAGTAGAAATCTACAATACGCAATTTTTAAATTTTCGTTATGGGCGCAGATAAAAAAGTTAAAACAAAACGTCGTTTCTTAATTTTTATATCATTCCAACCAATTGCAATCTGACGAAATTTTGATATACTCGTTCCCTAGAAATCTGTCTAACGCAACAAAATTCAAGCAATTCGCGTCAATTAAAAAAAAATTGTTCCGTTTGAAAAAGTGTTAACACACTTTCCAACGTGAGTGTAAGTGTTTTCGCGCGGGCCAGCGAATATAGATTCCCGCGTACCAGGTATGGTACGCGACCATGAATACTTAACGAGGTATAACACGGGGCACCTCCTCTCCTCTCCTCTCCTCTCCTCTCCTCTCCTCTCCTCTCCTCTCCTCTCCTCTCCTCTCCTCTCCTCTCCTCTCCTCTCCTCTCCTCTCCTCTCCTCTCCTCTCCTCTCCTCTCCTCTCCTCTCCTCTCCTCTCCTCTCCTCTCCTCTCCTCTCCTCTCCTCTCCTCTCCTCTCCTCTCCTCTCCTCTCCTCTCCTCTCCTCTCCTCTCCTCTCCTCTCCTCTCCTCTCCTCTCCTCTCCTCTCCTCTCCTCTCCTCTCCTCTCCTCTCCTCTCCTCTCCTCTCCTCTCCTCTCCTCTCCTCTCCTCTCCTCTCCTCTCCTCTCCTCTCCTCTCCTCTCCTCTCCTCTCCTCTCCTCTCCTCTCCTCTCCTCTCCTCTCCTCTCCTCTCCTCTCCTCTCCTCTCCTCTCCTCTCCTCTCCTCTCCTCTCCTCTCCTCTCCTCTCCTCTCCTCTCCTCTCCTCTCCTCTCCTCTCCTCTCCTCTCCTCTCCTCTCCTCTCCTCTCCTCTCCTCTCCTCTCCTCTCCTCTCCTCTCCTCTCCTCTCCTCTCCTCTCCTCTCCTCTCCTCTCCTCTCCTCTCCTCTCCTCTCCTCTCCTCTCCTCTCCTCTCCTCTCCTCTCCTCTCCTCTCCTCTCCTCTCCTCTCCTCTCCTCTCCTCTCCTCTCCTCTCCTCTCCTCTCCTCTCCTCTCCTCTCCTCTCCTCTCCTCTCCTCTCCTCTCCTCTCTTTCTCTCTCCTTCTCTTTGCAACGCGCGTTTCTAAAGAGAATTTCATAAGGAGCAAGATCAATAGGGACCTAACGTTTCGACTATGTGGGGTCTATGCTAATGCGGGATCGATGCACGATATGTAATAAGGCTGTGCAGCAACGCGAATAAAAGTCCTGGACGAAGGGAAACAATGTTATCGGCCCGGTGGAATCTCCGTCCGCTTATATTCGGTCCCGAGGCGTCTCTCACCTGGACGCGCGCGGTTCTCATCAGCGCGAACGGAGCACAATGCCTCTTCTTCTTCGGCCAGGCATCGATAATAGCCAACACTTTGCAGCCGAACAGGCTTACCTCCTCCGGAACAACACGCGCGTGGAACGCGTCCTCGCGATTTAGATAGTGCCCTGACTTTATCGGCCACCTACGTCTTGATAATCGGAGCTGGGACATTAACACGTTGCTCGCCGGCTATTTTGGACGATTTCACCCGATGAATTCTCAAACGAGGCTCCGGAGTTCGATCCCATCGCGAGAATGTTTGTTTTCTTTTTTTTTTTAATTTTACGCGCATACTTATACTTTTCTTCGAATTGTTTTAAATTATAAATCAGTACTCAGTTCAACATAATTAAATTGTAGCATAGTATAATTAGTTTTTTTTTACAAAGAAATCATCTGTAGTCTGTGATAATTGTTCTAATTTTGAGGAGTCCCCTTCGTATCGAATTCTTTAGATTTTCTTCGAATTAATGCAAATAATAATAATAATAATATAATAACTAACGTATGTAGTAATCGAATTAGATTGAGATTACACTTTGATATATAATTTTGAAGCAATATACTGTCTGGGGGTAGTAAAAATAAGTAGCTTAGGGGGTGATATTTTTAAAATAGTTCATATTGATTATCTCTTTTGGCAACTTGAAGATTAAATCCAATTCTGATCGCATTTCGTTTGGCAGCTTGAACGTTGAATACACTTTTGATCATGTTTTCTGGCAACTAGAACATCGAGTCCACTTTTGATCATCTCTTTTGACAGCTTAAACATTGAATACGGTCTTTACCATCGCTCCGTATAGTCGGTTTGTTTGTGTTCTTTAGTATCAATACACTGGTCTCATTCATCTTGTCATTATTAGACGTATTCGTTTTCTAAATAAATGCTCTTTATTGCACAGAAACGGTGATCAATAGGTTGTGGATTATATGCACTTATGATAAAAACGAATAGAACGATTTAAGGAACATTTAAGGAATTAAATTAATTTCCAATTTCCAATCTATCGAAATTAATCTCTATCTTGCAATTAATATAATATTTTTTTTTTATGCATAAAAAGAATTCTCAGCCTAGTCGTCAATATGCTTCATAATATAAATGCTGCTGTCATTGCGTCTAAAAGAATACAAAAATGCATGTAAGAGCAATATATGTATACTTGAAACCATAGGATTAGTCAATGTACAGGGTGTCCCATAATTATGTTAACACTTGGTAAGGGGTGATTCCTGAGGTCATTCGAAGTAACTTTTTTCTTAGCGAAAATGCAATCCACGGCTTTGTTCATGAGTTATTATCGAAAAACACTGACCAATGAGAGGTGAGAGCAGCTAGCGCGAAGTGGCGGAGCTACCGAGCGATCGAAGCCCAGTTCCGCTCATTGGATGGGCCGCCACGAGTCAGTTGATCTCGCCTTCCATTGGTAACCATTTTTTGTTAATAACTCGCAAATAAAGCCGCGATTTCCATTTTCGTTAAGAAAAAAGTTACTTCAAATGACCTCAGGAATCACCCATTTCTGAGTGTTAACATAATTATGGGACACCCTATATAAGTCTTACGAAGTAACATATGAGATTAACTAACATTTAAGTCGAGTTCTCAAATATTTTTACTGGCATGTATCTTTATTACGGTATGTTATACTAGATTTAGGGTAACGATATAACTTATACAGGATGTCCCAAAAATGTCTCGCAATCCGAAAGTGGCGAATTCCTCGGGTCATTTGAAGCAACTTTTTCCTTTACAAAAATTTTCTCCGAGGCGCCATTAACAAGTTATTAACGAAAAACAGTGACCAATGAGAGGCGAGCTCATTGGCGCGAGGCGACCGAGCCAATGAGCGGAACTGGGCTTCGTGCGCTGGTTGGCTGGCCCGCCTCGCGTCAGCCGTACTCGATACTTATTGGTCACTGTTTTTCGTTAATAACTCGTTAACGGTGCCTCGGAGAAAATTTTTGTAAAGGAAGAAGTTGCTTCAAATGATCTGAGGAACCCATTACCGGATTGCGAGACATTTTTGGTATAGTATAATAATAAAGTCTAAATAAGTATATTTTGATCATCGACCATGGACTAGATCCAACCAAGAGTCTTTAACACTAAAACTACGGAACCTTTAGCAGGAGTAATATACATTGTTTTATAACAACGACAAGATTAGATTTGTTTAATCCTCGTACGATTTCTGTGAGAATATTTGCTTAAATAAAGAAGTTTTTATCCAAAAATTTCTCATAGAAACATTTTTAGTCTAGCCATTTTGACTGGTGTGGTAGTTCCAGTGTTAATAAGTACATAAATCTACATCCAGAACACTTCAATTCACTGATAACGAGTCACATAAATAACGTAATTTCGATTAAATAAGTAAAAGTAAACTAAAGAAGTTGCGGAAGAACATTCCCTTAGAATCGTCCTTACGAAGTACACCCCCGTTCAAAAGTATTATGACACCTTCTTATTTAATATTAATTGCATTTTTTTCATTCAGTTTAGGTAATGTCTGCAAGTTTTATGGCATCGTTTCGTCGAAGGTGCGTATTAAGTTACGTGTGTTTGTCACTTATACGATCAATTTTCCTATCTATTGAATTCTGTTCGCTGAAAACATATGCTGAGATCATTTCATACTCCGTGCTCGGTAACACACGCGTCGTTTCTCTATGTATTTTCTAAATATATGATGAAATGATAGATGAACTAATAAAACGGATGACGAAATTAGACCAAGAAATAATTAAAAACGCGAGTTTAGTTCTGTTCTATAAAATTTACGTTACTTTCATTCTACTGATATTCATTATTATACTGCTTGTTACAATTTCATAAAATTAAGTTTGGAATAAACTGAAGAAATTATAAGAACTTTCTATCGGTTTTTCAAATTTATTTCATTTTCTACTAGTGTCCTAATACTTTTGGAGGGAGTTGCAAGTCGAGTCGAGCACGTCTCGGTTAAGAAGACCTCGATTTAAAAAACTGTGTTAGAATAGCGGGTCCCTGCCGACTCCAGCGATTCTAGGATGCGGTAATTGACGTTAGAAATACTAGTAGATCGACTCGACGATTAAGATAACTAGAAGCACGAATATCTCCGAACCCATAAGCATTCATGGTGCGCAGCGGCGCCTGCAGTAAATCTTCGGTAATCCAGCGTCCTTCCTTTGTTTCCACGAACTTCTTGCACCGAAGGCATACGTTGTTAGCCAGATACTTTCCGGATTTTCTACCCACCGCACAGTCATGTCGGGGAATGAAAATTTCAAGTGCGCGCGGTAATTTCGAAGAATTACGTCATTAAAATCGTTCAGGCTACGTGGAAGGATTGATGAACGAGACAGGGTATGATTTAGTGGCGCGTAAAAACAACCACAAGCTTGTTATTAGCTTCATGAGAACACGCTCGCGAGCAGGGCGCAGGAATTTCGTTCAGACCGCCGTAGAAAGTTGCGGGGAGCACGCGCAACCGCGGGACTTTCTTCGTTTTGAGTTTAGAATCCCGATGTTTCTGCGCGCTACTTGCTCGTGGTCACGAATACCAACGCTCACTTTCGAGATTTATTAGTCTATTGTAGCTGGCTTTTTTATATATTAGCTCGTACGAGCGAATCGTGCCGTTTCGATGCACAGAATCGTGGCACCGGTTGCCGTGTGTTTCCTTTTCTTCCGACGGAATTGCTGTCCTCTCGTTTCGTTTCAGCAATCTTCCTGCATTTTCGAACAGTTTCGAACGATCGTGCTTGATTCGAATTCTACGCTTTAGATGTACGTAATTTTTTTATTTATTTAACGTTACGACCTAGGATTTGTAAGATGCTGTTATAAACGTACGCAAACGAAATAGAAATCAGTCTAAATAATTTTATTTGAGAAATTTTTATGGAAATACAGTAGAACAAAATTATAGCACATTTAACTGCAAATTATGTACAGCTAGTCTTTGACAAAGAAAATTATTGAATACCGTTCGTTAATTTATTGTTATATATCATTTTTAATTAACTGTGTTATCAGTTTGTTCTTTTCTATATAAAATTGTTTAGCCTGGAAAAATTAAATTCTGTTTCATTTGTATACGCTTACAGTGGTATTTTACGAGTTTCTATAAAAAAAAGCCTTGGTTGAAATGTTAAATAATTGACAATTTGTTCATTTTAAAGCGTGGTATCTTTTTGTCCCGGAGTGTACGAACGCAGTGACTGTCTATGACTCTACGATGTATCTAGACTTGGAAATTAATTTTTTATATTGGGAGATCGAGTGCAGCTTTGTTTGCGATATAAGAAATGCAGTAGAATCGAATGAGCAGTGAATATCGTGAATAAATTGAACATTTTCATGCATTTATGCTACACACAAAAAAAAACGTGTGCTCATGAAATTTACAACAGTTACATCTCTAGGAATCTTTCATCGAATGATATATTTTTTCTCATTTCAGTTTTCATAAAGTTCGATATGAAAGCGGCAATTACTAGTCTACTCATCAAACTTCTCAGCCTTATGACTCTTATGTTTTATTAAATAAGTTGCCTCGGTTTTATCTCATCTTTGTGGTCACCGGACTGTTCGTCGACAAACAACAAGCGTCTCTTAATTTAGATCTGTAGACTAAAATTTCCAAGTCAGAACGAACATAATGTACTTATCTCGTCCGCGTTTATTTTAAACGAAACCATGGAAAGAATATGCCAGGCTGATACAAAGACCTGTGAAGCAATAGTCGTGGATTATGCACGACGAGTAAAACACGAGATTTTACTTTTTAAAAGAAAGGATAATAAGGATGCTCTGCAGGAAATCACACGAACTTCCCGGACGACCTAATATTTGGAATTAAAACGTAACCCTGCTGCGCATACTCGTCTATTTCGATAAAAAGAAACAGGCTAGAGTGCATTTTAAAAATCGGCGGTTAGCGTCTAAGCATACTACTGTGATCAAAAAGTAAGGTGAATTGTTTATAAAATGTAAATTCTCTATTTATTCTTCCAAATCAATTTCATCCCCTTCAAAGTAATCCCCGTCCGATAAAACGCACTGTTTCCGACGCTTTTTCCAGTCCTCGAAACAGTCGGAATAGTCTTTTTCCGGTATAGCCTTCAAGACCTTCTTCGATTCGGTTTTTATCTCCTCAATCGTGTCAAAACGGCGTCCC